GGGGGGGGGGGGAGCTCCATGCTCAAGGCCTCCTCCAAGATTCTTGCTCTAGGAGCGTTAAGGGTTGTTCATTGGTTAAACTTGGGCGCTTGGGGTGGCTCTCTAGGGCAGAGTCTTGCCCCCTGCTCATTATTTCTAAACGATTTCTTACCTTCCTTCTTATCTCTTAGGGTGGACGCCTCCTCCTGTAGCTTCTTGCGGGAGATACGCATATCCTCGAGCAAATGAACTCAACGACTTTCTCTTGGAGTTCATCCATGGTTTTCAGTGCTCTAGTACAGAGGTTGTCGGCGAACGGTCCCGTCCTCAGCACCGACGACAGGTTGTTAATGATGAAAGTATGGTTGACATCTCTGACCTGCCGAGTCGTTTCGTTATAATGCCTCATAAAGGCTTTCAACGTTTCCTCTTTCTCCTGCTTCGTGTTAATCAACACAACATGTGTCAGCTCTTAGGTACAACTAGATGCGTATTGCTTGCCGAAGAGAGTTTCTATTTGTAGCGAAACAATCCACTGTGTTGGGAGGGAGGGTGTTGTACCACGCCAATGCTTCTCCCTTAAGCGACAATGAAAACGCCCTACACATCACAGGGTCGCTAGATGAATAAAATGTCATCGCGTTAACGAACGATCGAAGATGATCGTCCGGATCAGTGGTTCCATCATATTTCTCAAACGTAGGAGGAGCCTTCTCAGGCATGGGAGCCTCCATGATAGCAGCTATAAAGGGAAACAAAGCCCCAACATGGATAGTTCGGATGGGTACGAACGCCTGAGCTGCGACACTGTTTACTGCTTTCCCTTTTCCATCATCCGGGTTAGCATGGCTGGACGCAGAACCTACTACGCCGGTTCCCTATCTTGCTACGCTCGGTGCACCTCCGTGGTCACCATCTTTTGAAGGGGTAGGAATCACAAAGACCAAATGTTGAGCAGATTGTTCTCCTCGGGTTGCCGTGTTTTCCACTCGGAGCGTAGCAATTTCAGCCTTATGCTTCCTCTACATCTCCATTAATTGAGCTTGTATTTGTGCTTGCATTTCCCTCATTATTTCCATCGGGTCCTATTGGTCTCCCATGTTTCTTGTGGTCACCATTGAGTTTCTAATGCAGCTCTTAGACCCCATGGTGGACGCCAAAATGTTTCAATATGTGAGGTCGAGATATAAACTTTCACAATTTAATTCTAATTATTTCTACTCAATCCTTTTAACGTCCTTTTATCTTTCGTCGTCCTCCCTTCGTTATCCAAATCCGAGCGGTGAATATCTATTAAAGATATTCTAAGGCTCAAGTCAGTTTTATATTACGGATCGATTGTAATAATTAAGTCTTAAATGTTCAATAAATGTAATCACCTACCTCTTTATCTTATATTTGTATTTATAAATTTTTTATGAACTTTTAATTAATATCGGTCGATTTAATAAAGATGTTTATACTCTGCTAACTAGAAAAATATTTTATTATATATTAACCGTTCAGTTAGTGATATGGGTTGACCGAACGGTAAGTATGGATCGATCGGCCCCATACAGTCAAAAAAATATTTTCAATATCGTTCAATTGTTGTTGAGTTTTGCGAAATTGCTCATTGGAAATAAATTAAATATTTAAAACGATCACAACAATATATTATCACCTTCTAAAGTCAATAAAGTTCTATGTCATAATTTCTATAATTAAAATAGTCACACAATATATATTTTACTTTGTGAAAGAATGATTTATAAGTAAAAATCTACACAAGTATTGAATGATGTAGGAAACAAAACAAAAATATTATACAAGAAGAAATAAAATATGCTTGTGTATACTCTGTCTTTTTTTTTTCCTTCTGGGCATGTTAAGGATTCTCCCCCTTAAAAAGGCCCAAACCTTTTGGTCTCTGGAGTGTGACACTGATTGATGTAATGATAGCAGATTTTGAGTAATGATAATTTCACCAAACCATAAAAAAAAAACACTAACTTTTATGTGTGAAGTATTGAAAAAGAAGATTACCAGAATAGAATTCGCCCTTTACTATATCATTTAATAATATACTGTTATGAACTGTAAGATTTCCAATTGTTATAATAATTATTTTAGATACATTTATGGTCATTCTGTTATTAGTTATATCGAAGAGGGAAATGTGGACTAAATAAGTTTTTATAGAATACAAAATTTGTAAAGTTTCATTTAAATAAAAATAGCTATTAATACTTTATAATAGACTGATAATATATTGTTTAAAAGACAAGTAGGTCCATTACTACATAACACAGTAATAATAATACTACAATTTCTTCTTTTTCTCTATGTTTGTGCAGTGGTTTGTTATGTGTACCGAGTGTGTTGTTGTAGAACCCTGGAAAATTTATCATGATAAACACCTTGTCAAATCAATATTTATGAGGGGAAAACCCCTCTGCAGTGCATTAATAACGCACATGCACTCCCTCTGTCACAATGCCAAGTGTCACCGAAATAGAATGGGAATCAGTAATGGGGATACAGGTGTCGACAGGGGAGAAGCACGATCGTGCAGATGTGGGAAGGAACAAAATAAACTTTTATGGAAAACTCTTCCTCTCCCTTCTGCATGCTTCATCTTCTTCCCAGAGTTTCTGCTTTCAAATTCTCTGCCCTCTCTCTAAACCGTCTTCATCTTCTCTCTAAGATAACTCACCGTCATCCCCTCCGATCCCATTTCAGATACCGTAGAAACGTTCCCTGCACTGTGAGCATCACGCTGAACCGAACAAAACC